GTTGCTTAATTGGGTTTAAGAAGATAAAAAAGAGATACTTCTATTAAATTTTCAGCTTCATGAATCATGGGTGGGTCCCTCTTGCAGCGATATTTCAGGCCATTTTGCCGAAGAATTGCCGCCGAACGGGAGGAGAAGCGAAGGTTAATTAAGGAGGGACGGGGCTACCGGCCGCCGGCGGTTGGTACGGTTCAGACGCGACTCCATGGTGTTGGAGGCCTAAAGACAAGTCGTGATAAGAGGCCTTAAACTTATATTTAATAATTTTAAATATCTTTGTTTAAAGTTTATTCCTTTTACTTTTTGAGATGCAATTTAATCTTGACGATGTAATCAATTTTTGATAAGATTTTATTAAGTTTAATTTTGATTTTTTTTTTACATTACCGCCAACATAACTCACTATACATGTGAGAATTTGTATTTATAAAGATGATAAACAAATCAATTATTGCTTTTTACGATCTAATTAGCTTGAAGCATATCTACAGAGACCTTGAAAGAAAATATTTTACAAAGTTAAAGTTGTAAATAAAATTTGTTCAAGTTAGAGTGAGAAGAACTAGTGCAGAAATTGCTTTTCACTTTCACTAAAATTTTCTCATCAACTATAAAAAAAATAGACCACATAATAAGTATAATAAATATTAAAATGACATATAAGAATGTAATATGGTATTCATATTTATATAAAATATAATTCACCATTTTGTTTAATTAATAAAATTAACCAAAAATTTATGTGGCAAATTCTTAATTGAATTAAGAGAAAAATAAACAAAAATAGAGGTAAACGCTCAGCTGTAATTATGGCAAAGTCTTGTTACGAAATGATTTAATATACATATTTTATATTTTCTTATAATATCTTAATAACAATTTTATAATTATCTTAAAATCTAAATTAATCGGTATATGTGCAAATTAGCAATCAACCTTGGGAAAAAGAAAATTCTCCGAACGTAATAATAATGATATGACAACTTTAAAAAAAACATACCAGAAAGCAGAGTGATGGTAGCTAGTGTGTGCCAGATCGGACTTGAGTAGAAGCTAATTCGTGTTGATAACATATTATAAATATTACTCAAAGTAACAATATAAAATAAGGAAAATCAAGCTAAGAGATATAGAAAAAAAGAGAGAAAAAGAGATTCTTATTTCTTTTTCAATTGTATATATTTTTCTATCTATTACAACACCTTTATATATACATAAAAAATAAAAAAAAAATATTATTAAAAATAAAAATATGTAATTCAATATATCATCAATCATTTGACAAGATCACAAAGATTAATATTGTCTTTCCATTTAACTTTATTTTGGCTTCACTTGGATTATATCGACTCTTCTTTGGCTTCTCTCATCTCACTCTTCTTGTTCTTATCGGTACCAGGCAGACAGGTCTTTCAGAAACCTGGCAGATGGAGGTTCACTGATCGAAAGGTTAACACCCGAGTTATATCAGAAAAGCTCCACCGTCCGCAAATTTCCGTTTTCACCTTCTCTCTCCTCACTTTTCCTGTTCTTATCTCTACACTTTTGGTGAATTTTCCAGTCCGGATCTTTGTTTTCCTGTGAGTTATCTTCTTCTCCTGTTGTATTTCTCTCTTTCATCTTTTACTGCACGCTAAGACTTTGTTCTTTATGTGTTTGAACAATTTCTTGAATGTATTTCGTGTGGTATTCGATTCACCTTGCCTTTTCCTTCGTCTTTCTGTTTAATTTTTTGTTTTCTGATATACTGGATTTTTGCTATTAAAAATTCAATTCTATACTCTTGGAAGTAAATTGATTTTTCCTAGAAGAATATGGTTAAGAGGTGAGCACAGAGACACGCCCTATTTTAATGCTTTTTTTGCCAATCTAGCAACATATGAAAAGTTTCACAATCTTCAAACTTCTCTGCGACTGCAACCCTGTCTCCCCTTGCTCTTCTTGTTGTTAGCTTTACACTTTGGTCAATTTATCGTTTGGATTGTTGTTTTCGTGTGAGCTTGCTTCTTCTTATCTTGTGTTTCTCTCTGCCATCATGGGATGCTAGGCCTTTGCTACACAGGAAGTTTAATTGTCGAGTTGTGTTTGCTCTTACTGAGGAAATTGTTGAATCAGTCAAAGTTTTTACTAAACGTTTACCATTTGTCTTTCAATCTAATTTCTTGCTCATCTTCTTATGTATTCTATCTATCTCTATGTGTTTGACATTATTCTCCAACGAGCCATAAAAAGTGCACCTATCTACTATATGAGAAGTGGCCAATCGAGTGAAGCATAATTTCTGCTATTCAGAAATGGATGTCATGGTAATTCATAGTTACCCGCGTTGGGGATCGCCGATTCAGATTTTGCTTTCTCATTTTACTCTATTTTTTAGCAAAATTCAAAGAGTTGGATTTGTGAAATCTCAAGTAAAAACACTAATCGAGGGTTGCAACGTTTGCCGGTTTAAAGAGGTCCTTTTTTGGGTATTTTGATTAGTTTTTGCCGCTGCTTTCTCTGAGGAACAAAGCATTTGTTAACTCAGGGTTACATTGTATGCTGGTTTCACGAAATACATATTTTTTTTTCTTTTTATGACCGATGGTAAATTTGTTTCGGATAAACCGTAATAGTTTGATTGGGGAAAAGCTTTGAATTTAGACACTAAACTTGAGAAACTTCGATCTTAAAATTTTTGTTGTAAACCTTTTTGAGGTCGAGGGAATTTTGTGATCCTGGCCTTTGATTCCATGGTATCGAAAAGAGAAAAGGAAAGTGTAATCCGATATTGTGCTATATAATATTTCCTTTTTTCCTTTGCATAAAATTAGACCATAAATAGGTAAACTTTATTTGAATTTTAAAATTATAGATGAATTACTGTTCTCCTTTAAAGTCCGTTAAAGCTCAGGATTTTACTCAATTCGTGCTCAATACTGAGTTCTGCTTGCTTAATGCTTTTTCCCTGCAGAACCTTGAGCTTCTCGCAATACATTGCTCAATATCTGCGCTGTATACTATAGTTATTAGTCAATATTTAGTTAAGTTGTAAAGCAGGAAATATAGTCAAGAGAAGATTCTTGATTTCCTTTTTCTTAAACATGCATACTACGTTGGCTGAGTGTTTGTATTTTGCCGGAGCTCAAGTTTTAGGCATTTACTTGCCTCCATTGCATGCTAATGTAAAGTCTCTTTCAGAATGGATAGAAATTAGACTGTGTTGTACTTTGTTTTGATTGATCTTTATGATGTTAGTAGACTCAACTTCAATGGTTTATAAATTTTTTTGAAATAGCCAACTCATGAATGTTGTCCTCTGTGAAAGGTAATTCGTAGCACCATAGTTTGTTTAATTTGGAACTCTTCTTTTGATTATGACAGGAACAACCTCGAATTACTATCTTGATGTCAAAATTGACGAAGCGGTGATTTTTTCCGGGGTTGGATGCGTCTTGATATTTTTTATAGGATCTGCTCACTGATAACAAAGCAAAGTTTGATTGTTATTCAAATGACTGAGAAGATAGCATGAGGTATGCGTCAATATGACCACACACATCATTTATATGTCTTTACGAAATGGTCAATGACCAATAATTATGGGTTGGTCCTTTTTTTCACTTCTTAAAAATAGTATATGAAGGCTGGGCTATATCTTTTTGTCTAAAGGTTCATGTCATGACAGTGTTGATAATAATGTATGCCTCGAAGGAGAGTACTGTCATTTGGTGACTTAACCACTTTTGAAGTGAGCACTCACTTCAATACCGATTTTCTATATTATTTCATTAGTTATACACCAAAATGGTGCCAAAATATTGAAGTGAACGCTTAACTCAAGTACATTTATTTGACAAATTAACGACGTAATCTTAATTAACTATACCCGGTGTGTCCATATCATTACCTAGGATAAGAATGCTTGAGATTATTTTCAATGTTAGAATGTATACCACACTTCATCATTCTTATTTATGGATTGGGGGGAGGAGGGGGAATAGTTCTTATGGACTCAAATCTAAGGCGGAAAAATATCAAATAGAAATACAGGACAATTCCTAGGAGGCCTTTCTTTACTTATCAATGACTAGATATTTTCTTATATTTATCCAGGATTTATCTCTTCCTGTACTCTTATGACGTGGGCAATCCAAAAATCTAGAGGAGAACGTGTTCCTTGGGCTACCTCCCAGATAAAAGCTTATTTCGGTTTATCAGGCGGGTAAACGACCAATTTCGTAGCTTTGTTATCTATGTCGTTATTATTTTTGATTCAGATATCAGTTGGATTCCACACGATTGAAATCAGATAAAAGGAATTGAAACATTCTTTTCCTTTTCCTTGCACTAAACTTTTGCTGCTTTCGTTATACCATATTGGTATAGCATTCTTTTTCCCCGCAGCATTCTTTTGCTGCAACTGCTCAAGCAAAGAATTCTTTGCTTGCATTCTCTGTGTTATTTTCTGTCAGTATAATCAAATTACTATACTGTCAGGCTTATATCTGCCTGTTGTTATTGTATTCAGGTTATACATATGCCACTGGGAAATGGGGATAATTAAGCACCAGAGAGTATTTTAGACAGGATGTGTTCCTTGAGTCTCTACTTTTGGGTTTTTGTAGTTCATATTAATTATTGCAACCTCCAAATGGATTCTCCTTAAGTAGATCACTTCCACAATTTGTGCAGTTTTATTCAAATGAATAGTAGTAGGTAGGGTAACCTCTTACGTGGAAGGTCTAGGTATATATTCAAATCAAATAACTAGGAAAATAGTAGTCAGGTACGACGGTTCTCTTAAACACACATTTATAAGCACATATTATACTTATAGCAAATATTTTTGGTTAGGAAGTTAGACTTTGTTTGTCACACGTATTGATTGGTTAAACATATTACTGGATTACTGACTGTAAAATACAGCAGCTTGAGGAGACATATATAAAGGTTAACAGTTCAGAAAACAGAAACCAGTTAAACAAATCTATTGCAGAATATATTTAGCTTAAAGGCTGAGGGTTCTATCTTAAAACAGAAGGGAAGAGTGAAATGGTTAGAAGATGGAAACTCTAGCTTAGCTTTTGTTGAAAATGTCATACGGGATAGGAGCAGTAAACCAAACATTCATAATATCAAGAGCGAGCAATATAGTTGATCAGAAGATGAAGGGAAATTGCAGAAGTAGCTGTAACTTTCTACCATCAGCTATTTTCACAAGAACTGGGGAGAAGAAGATTCAATAAGAACTAGGGAGAAGAAGATTCGACTACCCATATTTCATATTTATGGACAGTATCCATTAACAGTTGCCTGATCGATCTCCGAAATTTTTATTCTCTACACCAAAGAAAAGTATGTTGTCCGTCACTACAAGCAGATAATGTATCTTTTTCCTCTAAATGTTTTTTTTCCTTATCTTTGAGAAAGAAGGTAACATTTGAAAGTTCGTTGGATGATACATACTTTTTCCTGGATTCATATATAAATAGGGTAATATTATCCAAAAACTTCACACTAACTAACCAACAAAAAAGAAAACGTTTTCACAAGCTTCACCTGAAGAAAAAAGTCATTGTTTAATTTGATGATGGGTTGTCAAACTCTTTTGTAAATGCATATAAAGTGAGGAAAAGGGATGTGTTGTCTCTGCTAGGATGACTAGGGGTGCTATGTATGATTTATAATGGATTGATGATTGACTAACAATTTGATTTATTGAAGCTTCTGACATCTTCATTTGACCAATAATTGCGTTCATATTGTTCCTTGGGTGATGTTGGTTATAACTTATCCTGGTAATATGTTATGAGTGTTCTTTCATTGGGATAAAGATATATATATTTGATTTAGAGTGAATAGAATCATTTCTGACATCTTAGTTTTATAGAAAACTCCTTTTATATTTTTGTTTAGTGAAAATTAGTTGTATTTGGTCTTTTGATAAGTGATATGCTTTACAGAATCCATACGGACTTTCTCTCATACACTGCTCCAATTTTTATGGTATACAACCTCTAATTTGGAGTCCAGATCATGTTTTTCCAGTTAGAAAACGAACTGGTTAAGATTCATATCATTTGCCGTATAAAGGGTGATGTCGTGTTGGAATGTATTATCTTGCACGATGACCGGGAAGAGATGATGTTTCGAACCATGTTTAACACATCTTTTATTAGGTCAAAACATTCAGATACTTGACCGTGATAAAATTGACACACTGGGGGATGCTAATGATCAATTTCCAGAAGACTTCAAAGAAAAGGTATCGTTGTTCTTTTTAGATGCATCTTGCTGTTTTTCATGTTCTCTTTAGAAAAAGAGGAGTGTTTTAATTTGCTATGAAGCTCGGGATGAATGTTCTTTTCTCAGGGATGCATGTTGCTAAATCCGTAGCCCCATTTGATTTATCCTATTTTAAGGAGAAGGATGGCCATCCACTGGACGCATTTGCTAAAGCTCAAAAGGGTGATGCTGCTGGATATATGCTCCACCAACCAGCTGCGACAAATTTTATCCTGGAAATATTAGAATCTTCGCCCGAGACTACAGATACTGGCATGCCACACTAGCATGCTTATGATCAATCAGCTTCTGAGAAGCCTCAAGAGGCAAAAATTTGCAGTATCGGAAATAATGCCAAGGGATTGAGTCAATCTATCATCCACCAAACGGGCCTCTGCAGTATACCACATCAACATACCCGACAGGTGATACCCGACATGTCCGGTGAATGCAGAGAAATCTAGCAGTTACACCAGTTAAAAGTCTGAAATTGGCCATGGTAATAGTTATGGAGCTATTATCCATAAACCATGTATATATATTATTTAAAAAAATAATTATCTATCTTTGGTCATGTGAAATGTATGTATGGTCTTATATGCATTAGGTTTGAGAATAATTGAAGCAAGATGCATTTTTACTGCCGGAGCCTGGATGTTAATCTAAATTTTCATGTTTCATGTTGGGCCCGTGCTGCGCACGGAAGATTACTAATATATATATAGAAATAGGAGTTGAAGTGTACGAACATTGGGACGAACACTGGCGAAATGGTAATTATAGATGTTTGTCATGGGCATTGTTTTAGTTTTCTCTTTAAAATCAACCATTTTATTCTCCTCATTTCATGACACGTGTTGGTCTTTGTATTTTTGTGTTCCACTTTCATATATCAGTCATTTCGCTGCTTTCCTCCTCCTCCGAAAATGCTCTCTTTTTCTTCTCTGGCTTTTCCCTCTTTCTTCATTTTGCTGTTTGATTCTTGGTAAACTCTGAGCTATGTTTCACTATTCTTTTCTATATGTATTCTTGGTTCGTCTGATATCACATATTTTGAAGTGTTGCATGTGAGTAATTTCTTTTACTTCAATGAAATTTTAATTTTAACATAAGATTTGAAATTGGGGTTGTAAAAAAATTCAATGTGACCAAGCAACTGAAACGCACATAGGGATTGCAAAGAAGCTGCTTTTAAGTAATCTCTGGGCGGCTCATATTGAGAGGTAATGAATGAACGTTTTTCTTCATGAACAAACTATTAAGACCTTTTTTTGGGGTTATTTTAATTTTTCATATCGATTGTCATGATTTTCGTTAAGTGGTATTCCAATGCTTATATATAAAAAGTGGATTGTATGTGCGAGCTTCAGACACATTGATATTTCATTTTTATACGGAATTGGTTCCAAAATGACAACCTCATAAACATGCTTCATTCGACTTTTTTATGGACTGAAATTGGGTGTTAATTTGGTAGTTTCTATGTTCTTTCGGATAGAGGTCTTATTAGATTTTCACATGCATTGGGTAACATTATCGGATTTATACGCTGATTTAACAAAGGTATTTGATAATGTGCCTAAATGAACTAACCTTGCATTGCATGTGAAAGAGCTATTTGCAGTCTTTTCCTCTTTCAAATAACGGAAAAGATCCACATATGTCCTTATACTATACGAAATTGAGCACATTTGTCATTCGTTAATACTTTAGTTCAAATATGCCCTTACCGTCACATAGTTGATCCATATATGCCCTTAGAGTTACACAGTTGGCCCATATATGCCCTTTTCGAGACGGAATTCACCCAAACTAATTAGCTCTTTCGTTAATTGTATTAAAGTGTATTACAAATACTATTTCCTTTTTTTTAGTACTTTTTTTCTTTAACTTTCTCTTTTCTTTCTTCTTTTTTCTTTTCTTCTCTTTTTTTTTTCCTTTTTCTTTCTCCCTTATATGTTTCCTCCATTACTGATGTCTTCTCCTTTTTCGTCATCAATTTCACTTGATAAAACTCATAAATTCCAATTACTAAGAAAATTTTCCCATAAGAATATTTTTATAGATCATATGTTTTTCAATTTTTTAATTTTTACTGCTCATATATTTAATTCTAAAAGATTTAATAAAGTAAGATTGAAATAATATTTATGTAACAAAAAATCCGAAAGTCCAACAAAATCGAACAATCCAAATCGATATAATTGGTTTGGTTTGATTTTGATAAAAATTGAACCAACTTATTCCATGTACACCCTTAATTTACATAGTTAATAAAAAAAATAAAAAATGTCCAGCTGAAAACAGACTAACAACTCAAATTTATACCACTATAACTTGAACTCTAGGCTTTTAATCATTAAATTATCTTTCTGAAAACTATTTAAATATTTCAGTCTTTTGAGTATTGTTAAAGGTTGAGATGTTTTTATTATTTTAAAGTTTAAACCATAATTTTTGGAATAATTTAATTTTATTTATTTAGAGGGCGAGTGAAATTGGAACTTGATTACCTTATGGGATAATTTTCTTAATAATTGAAATTCATGAGTTTTGTCAAGTGAAATTGGTGACGAAAATGGAGAAGACATCAGTAATGGAGGAAACGGATAAGGAAGAAAGAAAGAAGAAAGAAGAAAGAAGAAAGAAGAAAGAAGAGAAAGGTAAAGAAAAAAAGTACTAATAAAAAGGAAATAGTGTTTGTAATATACTTTAATACAATTGACGAAAAAACTAATTTGTTTGGGTGGATTCCTTTTCGAAAAGGGCATATATATACCAACTGTGTAACTCTAAGGGCATATATGGACCAACTATGTGACGGTAAGGGCATATTTGAGCTAAAATAATAACGAAGAGCAAATGTGCTCAATTTCCTTTAGTACAATGGCATATTTGAACCTTTGTCCTTCAAATAACGATGTAAATGCAGATTTATAAAGAAGTAAACATGCTTCTAACTACCTTAATTGCAATTAAAGGACATCTTCAAAAATTCAATTTGAAAATTATGTTTATATTCTTCAGGGAAAAAGGTTATGGTGTATTTGGATAAGAGACAACCCATCGAAAACAATGTCAAAGAAATCCTTTTCATTTACTTAGTACTTCTTCCACATATTTATCTGGCTTTGCTCCATCTCTCAGCAAATTTAAAGTGTCACTTGCTACTGCATATACATCAAAAGAACATTAGCAGGAATATGCCATCTCAAAATGACAACTTTTTACGTGGTATTGAAGGAAAGCAAATTGCAGACACTTTAAACTTAAACAAGCTACGTAATTACAAAAGGTTAAATGAAAAATTAAAAAATATATCAAAACTTTTATATCACTTTACATGATTGATAAACTCTATATGATGTCTCTGCTCAGTCTTTACTTCAGCTAAAATGTAATGAGAATTGTAAATAAACTGCAGTTTTAATTTTTAGTTAAAAGCTGTGGTACCCCAAATGATTATAAAAAGAATGGAGAAAGAGGGTAAAAAATAAAAAGTAACTTAAACATAAATTGAGCCAACAATCTGAAAGTTTGTTCCCTGTTGTCATTTTGCCATTTTCGTTTTTGGATTTTTGGAGCTCGGATTTGGGTGATTCTGCGGGGATTTTTCACAAGCTTGGTTAGGGTAAGTGTTCTATATCCTAAAGTGTTTATATTTCATGAATCCATGATTATATTCATCATTTAATTCAGATTTAAATGGAAGAAATCAAGATTTTTGTAAAATCTTCCAAAAACGAAAATTTAAGATTTGGAGGTCGAGTTGTTATTGGAATTCAATAAAATTGGTATGGTTGAACTCGTATCGGAATGGGTGTTCGGATTTCATGAAAATTACGTCGGGTTCCGAGGGACGGGCCCCGCGTTGACTTTTGTTGACTTTTTGGAATAAATTTTAAGTCGACGTATTATTATCCGGAATTATTTTCGATGAATTTTAATGAAGTTATACAATTAATTTGGTTGGATTTGAGCGGTCCGGAGGTCAATTCAACCAAGAAGACGATTTTGGAATATCGGTATAACTTCAAAAAGGTAAGTGTCTTGCTTAATCTCGAGTGGGGGAATTACCCCTTAGGCATTGAGTCTTATATGCCATTTGTGAAATGTTAAAAGGCGTGTACGCGAGGTGACGAGTACGTACTCAGGATTATACGTGAAAATATTCATTGAATTAAAGTCTTATGTATTATTGTATAGTAAATTGGGAAATTGTAGAAAATTATTAAATCATCTGTTTGCCATGCCTATATCTTTATTGTTGAATTTGTTTTTATAAGACAATTTGATGTGATTGTTACTTGAAATATTTATGAAATTTCGTGAGTATTGTTGGTTTAATATTTCTTGAAAATTAATTCCAATATGAATTTTTCTCCGCAAATAATTAATTAAATGAGCTTAAAAAGAGGTGTTTATATAATTATTAAAAATTTAAATTTAATGAAGACTTTGCTTTATGATGAGTAATTTCTATCTCTATTGATTGTTTTTGGGTGTTATATACATTGTGTGGAGCCTTGGGCTATTTGTTGTAAAATTAATTGATTTTGTTATATCTTTGGAATTTGATTGTGGCCATTGGACAAATTGTGATATGAAATGATTTTATTATGTTGCTGTGATAATTTTTCGTGTAAATTATTATGTTGTGTGAGTTGTTATTTTGGGGAGATAATGGTGACATTTCACCGTTGATATTATGTGGTTATAAGGGTGGCATTTCACTGTTCTGTTTGTTGGAATATTGTCTGGGCGGAGCGATAAGGGTGGCTATAGGAGCGATAAGGGTGGCAATATGAGCAATAAGGATGGCTATTGGTATTGTCTGGGCGGAGCGATAAGGGTGGCTATAGGAGCGATAAGGGTGGCAATATGAGCAATAAGGATGGCTATTGGTATTGTCTGGGCGGAGCGATAAGAGTGGCTATAGGAGCGATAAGGGTGTCAATAAGAGTGATAAGGGTGGCTATTGGTATTTTCTGGGCGAAGCGATAAAGGTGGCTATATGAGCGATAAGGGTGGCAATAGGAGCGATAAGGGTGGCTATTGTCAGGGACGATATATGATAATGTGGGGTTGCGGTGTTGATAATTTTAATGTGATATTGTTATTTTCTTGTGTTTACTTTTATACTTTGTGCAATTTGTCTTGTTGTTGGTAAATTGATAACAATCTGATTTATGTTAAAATTGAGAGCCTGTAGCTATTGCCAGGGGGATTATAAAATAAAATGTGGGTACGAGGTGCCGTGAGTAAATAATAATGATATTTGGCACGTGAATTGTCCGTGCAGTAATGATATAAAATGTGGGCACGAGGTGCTGTGATGAAATAATAATGATAATTGGCACGTGAATTGTCCGTGCAGTTGTGATATGAAATGAGGGCACGAGGTGCCGTGGAAATATGATGATTTAATTATGGGTACGTAGTGCCGTGGAAATATGAAAATGGGCTGAGACCCGTATTTTTATGATTATGAAATGAGGTGTCACATGGTGACTTTTTAATTGAAAGAATTATATTCAAAATATTTATTTGAAAGTATTTTTATTCAAAAAGAATTGTATTTGGAAGATATTTATTTGAGGAAATTATATTTGAAAAATAATTATTTGAGAAAACTACATTTAAAAGATAGTTATTTGGAAGAATTATATGTGAAGGATATTTATTTAAAAATCTTGAATTAATTGGGCGTACATGTATTTATTAATTGTTGAGTGATATTTATGGTATTCTTGTTGTCTTGCTGCGCATACCACATGTTGTTTATCCTACCCTTATTGC